TCTATGAACTATTATGTTTGTTTTGGTATCTGTATTTACATTTCTTTACAATTTAATTAGCTAAGCCTATTTTCAAACAACAACGCAACAAAAAATTCTGAAGGGACGACACACAATGTTCAGCAATAATGCAGGTGTAAAGACTATGATTTCAATCCTAGTCAAGTCATTGGATAAGCGTTTTAAAGGCATTGAGGAGAAACCTTTTTATATAGTGGTGACACTGGCTAATCCATAACTTCAAACTAAACTTTTCTCATTACAGGCAACAAAAAAAAAGGTGAAAAAGCAAGATTGAAGTCAATCTGAGCTTGCTGAGCAGCAGATTGCTAAAACTAAAAAAAATCCAGCAAAACAAGCTCGGCTGGATAATTCCTATACATTATCATCATTACAATGGAATATATATAGATAAAATTATTCAGTCTGCTCCCGGTTGTGGCACAGCACATAAACAACAACTACCAACAGGCATTGACCAGCTACCCAGCTAAAAATTAACGTTCTAAGAACGTTACCATAACATTCGTTTAGGATTGAATAACATATGCTTCAAACATTCTTTGAACCAACTTTTGTGAACTCCGATTTAGAGTTCTTAAATGTTCGCTATGAACGTTCAAACAACAAACAATGAACGTTGATCTAACGTTTTCTGCAAACGTTACTTTGATAGCTCTTGAACGTCCATCCCAGCTAAAAAATAACGTTCAAAAAACATTACCATAAGGTTCGTTTAGGCTTGCATAACGTACCCTGCAAATGTTATTTGAACAAAATTTTGTGAACTCCAATTTACAGTTCTTAAACGTTTGCTAAACGTTCAAATAACAAATAGCAAACGTTTGCTGGAAACGTTACTTTGATAGCTCTTAAACGTCCACCTTAAACGTGTTATTACGAACACGGACGTTTACCCAACTTTTTTTTCTTCTTTTTAATGTATAGATTTAAAAATACTTTTTGTTTAAACCTACGTTTGCTAGTATTTGTAATGTAATGCTTTTTTCGCATTTACAAAACCTATTTTTACTTAATAAATACAAACTCAACATGTTTTATAGTTATAGAATTACACAATATAAAACTTATACGAAAACCCACGATTTAATATACATTTCGAACAAAGACACACAATTAGCTAAGCTGATTACAATTAAGAAAAATAACACTTCTTGCGATGAAAAAGTTGATTTATTAGTACTAGTTAACGCCCTATAGGACATAAATAACAATTTACATTAATTTAAAATAAATTTTTACAAAACAACATCAACAACATAAAAAATAAAAACATGTTATTCCAGGGAAAAGTCCACTGCACTGTCAGAACTTTCTTTAAAATTTCGCTGCAATAGAAAATAACTGTCACTTGGTATTCTGAATAGTGAACATTGTTGACCATTTTCAGCACCAAGTAGGGATGTACAGGATTTTGGCTCCAGTAGTTTTTTTTGAAATCCAGCTCCGGCTTTGATTCTGGCCGAATTTGTTAGTAAAAATCCGGCAAATCCGGTTCCCATTTTTTTTTTTAATTTTTCAACTAAACTTATAAATGTTTAAGTTCAGACAGATTTTCTGTTAAAACCAGCATTATTAAGTAAAAGTTTAATTGTACTTAAATACAAAGTCACTATGTTTTACAATTAAGTTACACATTGTCAAGCTTATTTGAGAGCCCATGACTTTATGAATACATTTCAACCATAAGGCACACAAATGACTCAACTTTTACATTGCACTAAGGCATACTATTTGGTCTGAAATTTAAATAAAGAGCTCATCAGAACTAATACAATAAATGCTTTCTAGGATAATTACTTTGGTTCATTTAAATTTTTATAAATAATAACTTTATCTAAATATTAATACTGTAATGAATAGTGCGCATAGTTACACCTTTTGTTCGATATTAGCTATTACAGTTCTGTATTCTGTAAAATACAAAATTTCGTAGTTTTTAAGCAGTTTCTAGACTTTTCTATGCACGGGTATATAATCCACACAGCCTTTCCATTAAGATCAGCAAGCAAATTAAAGCTAATATATATTTATTTTCAAGAATATTTGACGTTGTTCATTGTTTAAAATAAAAATTTAAATAATTGTTTGTTGTTGGTTGTTTTTATTTTTCTAATTTTTATATTCTGTTTTCATTTTTTAGAAGAAGTTAGAACTAAAATGACTAGTTAAATAGTTTTTTTAGTACAATGTTTCTTTTTTGAGAAAATAGTTTCAGTTTTGTCGTTAGTCTTTTAAGAACATTTTAAGCAAGTATTGCTTTAATTTTTAAAGCATTCAAGAGGAGCTGATGGCTTTTTTAGCAAGTTCAATTCATTTTCTTATTTATAGGCTAAGATTTTTTTTTTGTAGAAAGAATAATGAGAATAAAATTTTATTTATGTATTTAATATGAAATAATAATAAGACTGTTATCTGTGGGCATGTAAGTTTATAAACATAAGTTTGCGTTTATTTTAGTCTATTTTATATTTCTCTATATCTTTATGTATATTTTCTCTTTGGAAAAATAATAAGGAATAGAAAA